AATTGGATTAATTATATAATAAGCTTAAAAACTATATTTTTTTAAATATGTATTTTTAATATATAAGAATAGAAATCAAGACAGAAGTAAGTTAAAATTATTTTTCTTTAATTCTAATTCTTGAGATTATAAAGAGATTATTAGAAGTTATGAATCTATTATTTTTTTTAAATTTTACTTTTATTTTATATTAATTATTTAAAAAATAATTTTATAATATTTTAATTCACTGATGATGATAAAAAAAGAATTTAAATGTTCTCATATAAAATTAAAATAATTAATGTTTTTTTTTAATTTATAAAATAAACGATTGATTTATTTTTAATGATTACTTTTAATGTTTTTAGAATAATTTAAAATATTTTTATAGGTTTAATTGTTACAAATTGTTTTAAGCATAATCAATCTAAATTTTTGCTTAGGCCCTAGGGCCTCGTAGACGTGCAAGACAAGAGGGGGGAGATAGGGATTTTTTCCTCCAGCCTAGAAAAAACTAACAGCCATGGTTCCTATAGATTAATGTTAAATTTTCTAACAAAAAATAAAACCTTTAAGACTGATTTTTATTAATGTAGAAATATTCTACGTATTTCATTTGTTCGAAAAAGTTAGTAAAAGGGACTTAATAGGATCCTTTTGTCTCCATAAAGTTTCGACGGCCCTATACAGTACTGTACATAAGCAAATAGTATATATTAATATGTTCTTAATCCAGTACTCTAAATCTAGTACAAGATAGAACCTGTACAATATCAAACATCGTGTAGTACAGGCTTTACATTATATAAATTTATATAAAAGGGGTCTCGCAAGCTTACGTTTGTTTAAAGTCTTGTACTACCTCATGTAAGAAATATAGTTTAAACATTGATTTTATGTTAAAATTTAAAATAATAATAATAATAAAGCAATATAGGGCCTATATTTCTATATTTTCATGACTTTCGAAGAAGGATAAGGCCGAAAAGTCTAAGTAACTACTCTATCTTACCCTTCTCACAAGTCAGTGCCTGGTTATATTTATAAATATTTCTTTTATTATAAATAAATTTAACTGAAAATAACTTATAAAGATTTTTCTATAATCTATTCTCATCCGAACTTATTATTATTTTTTGTTAATTGCCAATAGATAAATAGGATTATCCCTTATAATCTGGGCTGTATTCTTTAATTATAGACCATTAATTCAATGCAAATGATCTATAATTAGGCATATATAACCTCAAAATATTATTTAAAATGCTGTAAATTTAAATTATATGCTGTAAAATGCTTGTAAATATACATTAAAACATTAAAATTACATTATCGTTCAATGCATTTATTCAATCGAGCAAACATTTTAACCATAAAAGAAAGATGAAAAAAGTCAAGAATAGTTCATTCGAGTGAGTTGCATTATTAAATTCAAATGATTTACCTTCAGGGTTTTCGAGAGCATAAGTGGGGCCCGGAGTAGAGAGGGGCCCCTTTTTCTTTCGGTGGACTCTTTAGTCATTTGTTTTGAACGAATAAAATACAATATTTTTCTATAGGGATAGGAACCACTACGAACCCCTACTTTTACTCCGGACTCTGGGGAAAAATCCTTAGCTCCCTCCTCTCGACGGCAGTTTGTCTTACTAAATATACTTAAAACAATTTGAATTTGTAATATTTGTTCGTTTTTCTGTAATTCTTTCAATTGTTACGATTGTTTCTATATTGTTCTTATTGAATATCGCTCGTTTCTGGTAAATTTCAAGAATTTTCACTCTATTTTTCTTAATAAATCGCATTTCTAGAGTTTGTAAAATTAATTTAAACATTAAATGCTATTTCAAAGCGTAAAAATAAAGCAATTAAATTAATTTTCTGTAGTTTTAAAACACAAGAGATATCAAATTATCACTCACGCGTTGACGCGCCGTGCTAAAGTAAACCATTCGCGCTAATATTTTAATCAAAAATTTGTAAATATTTAAACATTTTTCAATGTAAATAAGTAACTAACTTTAATCAAATTAATATAAACATAGGGAAATACTAATAATGATAAAAAAATAATAATAATGATGTATTAGTAGTTATTCTGCGCGCGAAGCGACGTAAACATAGACGCGTCGCTTCGCTCGCTGAATAATTATTAATTATCGTAAAAATACCATTCGAAACACTTTAAAA